AGCGGAGCTTGGTCGGAGCAGAGAGGAAAGGCAGAACACAGCCAGCCCGCACCCGAAAGACGCACGAGGAGGATGCAGGGGCCCGGGAGGGCCCTTTCGGGGCGGTTCGAGCGGGGCGCGATGGGCCCGAGGAGGCAAGGATGCAAGGGTACCCTTGGGCCCTTGGGAAGGTTGCTCATCCTCATTATGCGGGCTGACTGTAAAGAGGACCGAGGTTTGCGGCTGTTTGGGTGCCGTTGCGGACCTCCGGAGGCATCCGGCGACACCCAGAAGAACAGCACGGCTTCGGAAACCGATCTCCCAAAATCCCAGGTGGCGGCTCAAATGGATACATCTAGCCAGCTCTAGAAACTCTGAACCAAAATTGGCATCTACAGTCAACCCGCATAAGAAGGATGGGCAAACTTCCCAAGGGGAATTACCCTTACCTCCTTGCCTCCTCGGGCCCATCCTCGGCCACCTTCGCCGGCCGCGCCCCGCTCGAACCGCTCCGAAATGGCCCTCCCCAGACCCTGCATCCTCATCGTGCGTCCTCCTCGCACGGGCTGACTGCATCAGGTGGGGGGGGGGTGCGAGGCGGGGATTTATCCAGGTCCACCGCCTGTGACCCGGCGCCCTGGTGCCCCAGCGGGCGGTGGACATGGACAAATTCTGGCCCCAAGGGCCCGAATGTGCCCATATCCACTGCCTGCTCTGCTTCCCGCCGCCCTCCGCTGGCCCTCCGCCCCGCCCTGCCGCGCGCGGCAGGGCGGCGCCGAGCCCTCGCTCGCTCCCTCCGCGGGGGCGAGGCAGCACCGCGCCCTCCCTCCGCGGAGCGCCCCGCCCGTGGGCCCCCCCCCCTCGGGGGCGCGCAAGCACGGGCTGCAGTCGGGCTCGGCTGGACAGGACACGCGTGAGGGCACGAGGACCCTCCCGAGGGCCACACTGCCACAGGAATGCAGGAAGCATGGGTCGCGAGACACGGGACACAAGGGTGCCCTTGACTTGGCAGGGTCGACCTGCTAGGCTGGGCCGACTGCAGCGATCCATGGATCTGGCGCGCGGTCGCCAAGTCCATGGATCACGGGAGGTGCCCTCCCCAAAATGCGGCCGGTGCCGCCTCGCTCGGCTGCGGAAATCTGCGATTTGTTTCCCCTGGGAAAGGAACCCGTCGCCAGCCCACGCCCCCTTAATCCATGTTTGCGACCGCCGGAAGCCATATATAGAGCTCCAGCCCCCCCCCCCTGGCGCCTCCAGTGGGAGGGCCCCGCGAGGTCGGCTCCCCGGAGCGGCGGCCAGGGACACGGCTCTTGCGAGTATCGTTTGACCGATGTCCATCCCCGGCGGCGTGGCCTGGGCCCCACTGGCCGATTTAGCCCCCCTAGATGGGGATACAGGCCGGTCCCTGCGGGTTTCGAGGGGTGTATCCCCAACTGGGGTGGTAACTTGGTGGGGGTCTCGAAGGGGATGAAGATGAGGATGGGGGGTCGGATAAAGGATACTGATCTTGGGGAGACCAAGAGGTACCCATACCGCTACTCCCCAGACCTCTCCCGGGGTGCGCTCGGACCAGGGCTTCGAGGCGAATCCCGCGGCGGCGACGAGGGCTACGTACCCAGGAGGCCCCCGAGAGGGGAAGACGGGGGAAGGGCAGAACGGCATGGGCACCTCTTCCTCCCCCGAGCTCCCCAGAGCGGCGGCGAGGGACACGGCTCTGGCCTCGGAGCTCAGCGAGTCGGGGCGCATGCCCTGAATGGCGCGGCGGGGCAGGTTCAGCAGGGCGGCGCGCGCCTTCACGCTGACGCCGCCGGCGAAGAGCAGCCGCATGGGAGGCCTCCCTCCCAGCGGCCGAGCGGCCTCGGCCTCGGCTTCGGCCTCCCACTCGACGATGGCCGTCAGCGCGTGCCCGAAGAGCAGCCGCGAGCCCGCCGCCAACAGCTGGTCGATCATGGTCCGCATGGCCGTGTTGTACCCGGCGCTGTTGTTGCTCGCGTCGACAATCCTGTACAGGACCATGCCCTCCTCCTCGCCGCAGCTGGGCTTGTAGCACTGGCAGCTCAGGTTCAGGTGCCGGATGAGATCGCCTGGCAGGTGCATCTCCTTGGCGAAGCGGTACGCCCCAACGTCGACCACCAGGGACTGGTCGCCGTCTACGGGAACGTGGACCGAGTAGGTCCGTCCTGGGAAATGCTCGCTACGGACACCAGCGCAGTCCTCGCGCCCTCATCGTCTCCCTTCCTCCCTCTCCCCTCGAGGGAGTAGGGGCGAGAGGGAGGAGTGGAAAGGAAGGATGAAGGGGCCCTTAGACACACAAATAAATACACACAAATAACAGGATTCCCCAAATGTTCACATAGTTTCTGGGTTTCTGTCTTCCCCCACTTCCCATATGTTCCCATATTTTCTTGGGAATCGACGACTCATTGTGTCTGTGTGTTTCTTCCCCTCCCGAAAAGAGGAGGAGGAGGAAGAGGAAGAGGGAGCGAGGCGAAGCGAGCGCGCGCTGTCGGTCCAGCAGGGCCCGCCGCACGAGGGCAGCGCGGGGGGGGCCTGGGGCCCTCAAGAGACGCGTTGCAAACAGGAGTCGGAATCTGAATCGTGGGGTTTGGACTCGGAGACGAGAGGGAAATAATCTGCTTGCCGTTGTCCAGGGGGCCACAAGCGAACCCTACCCCTACCCCCCACGATTTCTGAGGGGGAGGGTGGGGACCACTTCGCTCGGGAGCTCCCGAACGAAGTGAACCTCCCCCTCCCCCTCAGAAATCGTGGGGGGTAAGGGTAAGGTTCGCTTGTGGCCCCCGATTGTCATCGTCCGAGTAAACATCGGCCACAGGTGGTCCAATTGTTTGGCGCCGGTGTGAGCGCAAGATCTGCATCCGGAACTGGAGAGACGATCGCAAGGGTCGCAAAGATGGGCGTAGGAATCGGAAGCCAGGAGAGCCACAATCGTAAGGGTAGAATCCAGAATCGGAAAGACGATCGCAAGAGTCGGAAAAATTGGCGCATGGGTCAGCAGAGGCGGAGTCGTGGGTGAGAGCGGGACTCGGAAGCACGATCGCAAGAGTCGGAGAGAGGGGGGCAGAAGTCGGAACATAAAAGAAAATGGAGCCGCGGGAGGCAAGAGCCGGAGTCGGAAAAACGATCGCAGGAGTCGGAAAGGTGGGCGTAGGAGTCGGACGATAGGAGAACCGAAGTCGTGCAGCTAAGAGCCGAGGTCGGAGAGATGATCGCAGGAGTCGGAAAAAAAGGAGCAGGAGTCGAAGAGACTTGGGAGCGGCGACCAATCAAGCAGGGGACGGAGAGAAGGGAGCTGGAGTCGTAAAGGTGGGTTAGAAAAATGCGAATTCTTTCCGGGGTCGTAGGCAGGGAATCCGGAGCCAGAGAAATAGGAGCTGGAATCGAAGAGACGACCTTGGAAGCCAGAGTCGACGAGAACGGAGAAGGAGTCGGAGAGATGGGTCGGAAACGTGTCACTTCGTTCCGGGGAAGGAGACATGTAAGAGCTGGAGGCAGAGACACGACCGTTGAAGCTGGAGTCGGGAAGAACGGAACCGAAGTCGGGAAAATAATGGGCTGGTTACGTGTCGCTTCGTTGCAAGGGTCGGAGACAGGAGGGCCAGAGGCGGAGAGGCGGGAGAGCCCAAGTCGGACAGACGGCCCTTGCAGCCGGAGTCGGAGAGAAACGATGTGGAGTAGGAAGCATGGGTTAGGTACGTGTCCTGGGACGCACAAGAACATACTGACACTATGTGTCCTCCTTGGAGGCGTGCGTCCGACTCAACCATATAGTATGACCATCTTGTCGTAGACTGTTTCCCGGACGGTATGGCCAGAAGGCGCCCGCCACGGAGCTTATGCACTGAGGTTTCTCGGCGCGCGCGTCGTCCCTGGGGGAGCGACGCACAAGGGGGAGGAGGAGGAGGAGGAGGAGGAGGAGGAGGAGGAGGAGGAGGAGGAGGAGGAGGAGGAGGAGGAGGGGGAGGAGTAGGGGAGGAGGAGGGAGGGGAGGAGGAGGAGGAGGAGGAGGAGGAGGAGGAGGAATAGGAAGATACCCCCACGTTGGGATGATGCCGATGTCAACTCGCTCCAGAGCGGAAGCTGGGGTCAGAAAAGTGGGAGCCGCAATCGAAAACATAGCTGGTCTCGGAGAGGTGCGTCGAGCGGCAGAGCTGGAGTCCTCAAGCTGCGTCGGATCCT